GGGGGGGGGGTCATGATATAAAAAAATTATCAACCTTGATTTCTTTTTTCTGCTATATCTTAGAATATATCAATTATATATTTTATTCCTAGTGTTGTATCCCGATTTCCTTTAAAATTGGGCTCTCTCCTTTCTCTATTCCGAAACAGGTTTAAACACTAATATTATGTTGTCCTTGAAGCCTTAAAACAATTCACGCATGAAACCACCTGGGCCTGGATGGTTTTTGAGAGACAATCCTTAGAAAACTTTCTCAATTTCTTCCAAAAAAATTAGTCTATTTGGTTTATTTAGCTCTTATTCAATAAATTTTGTCATTTGTATTTTCATGGAAATCTATTTCCTCCAGGTTAGAAATTTATTAGCAAATTATTCTTACACGATTCCCAAGATTTCCTTTATATCAGTGATGAATTTAAAAGCAGTGCTGAAGACGTCATTTTTATTTTATTAATCACAAATCTGCATATTTTGGAAAAGTTCTAGTATAACTATGTGGAAGACACCATTTACTGCCTTTATTTATTATTATTTTTTAATCATTTACTCTCTTCAGATTGTGCATTGTTTTTAGACCCTTCAGATTTGGAGCCACTATTTTAAAAATGGGAGGCTAGAAAAGGAACTTGATACCTCTTCCAGGTTCATTTCTACTCGTTCCCAATTAACAGAGGAGGTGCTGGGACATGCTTTGGGGCAGCTCCCTCATTCAGCTCGTGAGGACAGCAGAATCTCTTGTGAGAGCCCAACAGTGAGAAACCCTGTCTCACCAGCCAGTAGTTGCAGCCAGTTGATGGACCAGAGTCCCAGACAGCTGGACGGGCTCGGCTCCCGCCCTGCTGCGTGTACTGGAGCATCGCGGCCGTGGGAAACCATTGTCTCTGCTGGGGAGACGCACCCAAGGCCAGTTGTAACCAGGCAGCGGGAATCTCAGGGGTCACTTATGTCTAGCCTTAAAAATGAAGAATCCTAAGGTCACTAGAAAACTAGGATGGTTATTTTCTGGGGTGTTTTGCATCTTAAAGAAGGAAAAAATAATTTAGGGAGTATTTTGAACTATCAAACTTTCTCAAACATCAGGTGCAGGTAGATTCATTACACTTCTTTTTTTTTCCTTTCTTTTAATACGCAGCTACTCTCCAGAGAGACCGAATCTTCAAACATTTTACCAGGAAGCGCCAAAGGGCTATGCGAAGGCGAGTCCACCAGATCAATGGACACAAGTTTATGGCCACGTACCTGAGGCAGCCCACCTACTGCTCTCACTGCAGGGAGTTTATCTGGTAAGAGGCTCCCTGACTTCTCTCCTCCGAAGAGTTCCCACCTCAGAAGCAGAATACAGTTTAATAGCTGCAGCATGGATGGAGGTCTACATTTTTGTGCAAACCAAGTTTGCACTTGGTTCAGAATAATTTCTGAATATCAATCAATTACGTGGTATTTTCTTTCTTGTGATGACTTTGGATTTTATATCTTTCAACAGTCATAATCTATGTTTCTATCATTTTTAACAAAGAGTAGAGTCTTGTCTAAATTAAAGGCCCTAAACTGGATGTTGATGGGAAGCCTGCACATGTACTATCACAACCATAGTCTTCAGGAAAAAGTTCCCACTGCATTTCCTATGGAAAACATCAGAAGCTGCAGCATCCCAGAGCCCATTTTCTTCCTTCGTGGCAGTCTGCACGGTCGGACCCAAAGGGCGACTGTCCAGTGCTCTTTATTTCATGTCACACCGTTCTGCCTCTCTCCTTCCTGTGGCCTGCCTGCCCTGTACGCATTTGTGGTGACAACCTGTGACCTCAACTAAGGTTCTAAATGGAAACTTACTTGTTAATTTCACTAAATTTTTTCCACCAAGGAAACGTTAACTCCCACCCAACCAGCTTTGCCCGCCCAATCTCAATCTCTCTCTCTCTCTCTCTCTCCCCCTCTCTCTCTCTCTCTCACACACACACACACACAAACACAATAATTGTGTATGTGTTACATGTGCACAGTTAAAAGTATGAACTCTGGAATTCAATATCATCACCAATTAGGTGTGTGAAATACAACCCATTAGTGTCTCCTCATTTACAAAATAGAGCCAATAATTTTGTTTATATAATAAACTTTTGTATAGCACTTAAAGTGCCAGGCCCTATTCTTGGTATTTTACATTATCAACTCCTTTTACTTTCATGATAACCCTATGAAGTAGGAATGGCGATCATTATTCTTTTTTATAGAGCAGACTGTGGCTCAAAGAAGTTAGCAGCCTGCCCTAAATCACACCCAGGCCACCTGGCGTCAGGGTCTGTGCTCTTAGCCAGCATAGCCTACAGGCTTCTTTGTTCGTGAGAATAAGAATTATATCACCATGGCCCAGAGCCCGTACTGGGGAGAGACGCAGGTGAAAGCCGCTGGCATGATGGACACGTTGTGGCCTCACTTCTGCTCTCCCGCAGTGGCCAGGGCGATGTGGGCACGGGGAAGAGGGGGGGCGCCACGGGCCAGGCAGCTGCAGTGGAGTCACCTGTCTGCCTGTGCACCTGCGCCTGTGTGCTTCACCCCTGCACATCTTTGCACCAGTGGGAGAGAGGGTGCCGCGCAAGGTGGCGGGGTGACTTCAGGCTGAAGCGCGCGCACACACACACACACAGAGATAAGGGCTGATGTTCACGAGGATTTGAGGGATTGTCACAGAGGCGGGTGGAATGAGAATTGCCAATACCCACCCGTCTCTGTCATCTGGAGCCTTCTAATTCATCCGATGGTTTCCTTTGTTTCTTGTGGTAACAAACAAGGGCTCGAAAAGCACATATCCTTGCTGCTTCTCTGAAAGTGTGTTTTCCATAAAAGACTAGAGGGTGAAATTTGTGTTCCTTATGTATTGTAATTATAGGAACATTCTTGCTGAAATAGTCAACTGATGGTAATTTTTTTCTCTGTTGTCTTGAACAGGGGAGTATTTGGGAAACAGGGTTATCAATGCCAAGGTAAGAAAACATTTTAAAAACTATGTTTGATCTTGTTCCTATGTTAAAAAGTGATTATACCAAGAAGAAACAGGATGCCTTCCGTTAATATTGTGACAACTCTCTGTAGGTCACATGAGACACACACCCCTCCCCCCCCCACACACAAACACCAACACACAATAGAATTATGTACTATTTAGTTTTATTTAGATGTTGGTTATGGTTTCTTTAAAGACAAATGTAGAGATGATATATTTATTGTTAAAGCCAGATACCTAATAAACTTCAGTCATTTAAAGTTTTGTCTCTGCAATAGCACTGCACTGAAAGCACTCAGAAAAGGCAATGCCATTTTGTGAGTAGTACCCTTGAATCTTGAAGATAAATGTTTATTTTTTCAACCCCATGTCAACAGGGGTGAGAAGTAGCACCGTGCTGTTTCCTCTTTGGAAATAGAAGCTATTATCCAAGTTGCTTTTTGACTTTTTTTAAAAATGTGAGAAATGTTCCAGGTTAAGCTACTAATGATCTTGTACTGTATTCATTCAGTTTATTTTGATTTTCACAATTCTAAGATCAACCCAATTTACTGGTGTTCGGGCAGAGCTGGAATGAAATAGAAGTGGGAGGACTGAAAGAAGACTCCTTACTCAGGAGAGTTAGCCGGGCTCAGTTGGGTTGGGTTTTTATCTGGCCTCCCTTAGTGTTGGCTTGTCTATCCCATGGTTTACACATATGGCACCTTCTTGATCTGCACTCTACGGATGGCTGATAAAATAGCACTATGTATCCTAGAGTGTCAGCCTACCTGTAGATAAGGAAACCCTACCTTCTCTCCTGAAGGAGGTGAGGTAAAACATTAGTTTCCTTAAAATGAAATAGGACATAATTTTTCTTGGATCTAATTTTGACTCTAATATGTATGAACAATTCTGTTGAGTTCTGAAATTTAGAAAATATAAATACATAATCACTACAACAACAATAATTGACCTTATGCAATTAATCCCAGCCCCAAATAAGAATATAATTCACAGCTCAGAATCGATGTCACTCTTTGGCCTGCACCTGTCCAGCACAGGGATATGTCCTGCCGTCGTCTATGGTCCATCGTACGCATGGTGCCAGGATGTTCAAAGAGCTGATTCTCAGTGGGCCACCTGCTGTTAAAAGAGCAGGAAAGCACATTAGGAGACATAAAGACACCAATTTGTTCATATCTTGCTAAGAGATATAAAACACAATACCAGGTTGGAGAAAGGTATGCCATGCTAACACCAATCAAAAGCAAATAGACAAAGCAAACTTTAGAAGAGAGACTCATGTAATGATAAAGGGGTCAATTCTTCAAGAAGACATAACAAGGCTTAACACCTAACAGGCACCAAAATACGTGAGGCAAAAACTTGTAGAACTGCAAGGATATGTAGACAATCCACGGTTGTAGTTGGAGACTCAGTAACCATGTAACTGGTAGACCCAGCAGGCAGGAAATCAGTAAGGACATCACAACTGGATCAAGATGACATGTGCAGAACACTCCACCTGGTGACAGCAGGAGGCACATTCTTCTCAAGCCCAAAAAGAACATTTAGCAACACAGACCACCTCCTGGACTATAAAACAAACCTTAACAAATTTAAAAGAAGAGAAATCATAAAAAGTATCTTTGCAGACCACAATGGAATTAAACGACAGATGACTGAAAGAAAGGTAGCTGGAAAGTCCCCGAATATTTGAAGATTAAACAATACATTCTAAATAGCACATGGGTAAAAGAAAGCTCAAGATAAAATAGAAAATATTTTTAACCAAATGAAAATGAAAGTGCAACTGACCTTTGAACAACATGGGTTTGAAATCATTGGGTCCACTTACATGTGAGTCCCCTTAAACATGGATTGTTTTTAGTAAGCACCGGTACTGTTCCTACGCATGGTTGGATGGACACAGATGTGGCATGCTGAATGTATGCATTGATCGGCACCCTTTTACCCAGGGGACTGAGCATCCATGCATTTGGGTGTTTACCCCGAGGGGGTGGTGTCCTGGAACTAATCCCCCACAAAACTTAAGTTTTGGGGGTGTTAAAAGTTATAAATGAATTTTCAACTGCATGGGGAGTTGATGCCCCTGACCCCTACATTGTTCAGAGGTCAACTGTACATTTTTTCAAAATATGTGGGATTCAGTGAAAGCAATACTCAGAGGAAAATTTATAGCATTAAATGCATGTATTAGAAAAGAAGAAAAATCTAAAAATCAGTAATGTAACTTTCATCATAGGAAACTAGAAAAAGGAGAGAAATTTAAGCTTAAAGTGAGCAGAAGAAAAGAAATAATGAAATGAGAGCAGAAATCAGTAAAATTGAGATTAGGAAAACAATAGAAAAAATCTACAAGTCAAAAGCTGGTTCCTTGAAAAGATCAAGAAAATCGATAAACCTCTAGCCAAGCTAGCTGGAAAAAAAACAACAACACACCCCAAAATGCCTCAGAATATAAGGATTTTCTGTGTGAATGATGGTTTCAAGATCCCCTCATTGAAAAAGATCAGTTCTCTGGGAACTTTCAATCTGGCTCTGAGAATTCAGTCTGATGGAAGCTGTATTTGTTTTAAAGTATAGTGCTGTTTGTTGACATGCCATCTGTCTTTAGGTATTTAATTCTAAAAACTTCCACATGTCTTGAAGGATCTTAAAAATGATGCATATTTTCCTACTGCTTCATGGCACACATTCATCCTTGAATGGCAAACTGGGCTTTGTCTGCACGATGTCAGCTGTCTAGACGAAAATGAAAAAGTTATTCAGAAAGTTCTAAATATTCAAACAATTGATTGCGTCATTCTGCAGATATTTAACGAGTGCATTCTTTGTTCAAGGCATGATGCCCGCTGGGGATTCTGAGGGCATTGGAGGCTCTAGGTCGACCATGTGAAATGAGGGGGGCAGGCTGAGGGTAGGAGATTGGAGGAGGGAAAGATGGCTTCAGTCTAGACGGGCAGCCAGGGGTAGTGTATTTTCATGGAAGAAGCATTTCAAAAGGTGTGGCTTGTTATAAATTTAAGATTTAGTTAGGTGCTAGGATTGAGAAAGACATGGAGGATGTGAGGGGAGGTTGAAGCCTTGCTCCTGGAAGAGCAGTGAGTCTAGTTTTTATTGGAACGAAGAACTCCCATAGAAGAAAGGCAACAGGTAAGCTTGGGGTAGGCTCTGGAGGGCCCGAAACCTGGCTGGGAGATTTGAACTCTGTTGATTGACAGTGAGACGCCAATGAAGGTTCAACTCATGGGGAGGTGACCAAAATCATACTGTGAGCAGATTCCTCTAGAGATGGGCACAGGAAGGATTAGAGCCAAGGAGGGATGGATTAAGCTCAGGACTTGAATAAAAGTAGTTTAGCATGAGCAAAGGCCCGAGTTAGGGTGATGGTAAGGAAACAGAGAGGACAGGACACTGGCTGCTATCATGTGGGCCAGACACCCAAATCAAGCGCCTGGGCATGGTACAGCCCTCATTGACTCTAGTGTAGCTGGCTACACTGTGAGCCTCCAAAAAATGTATTAATTGTGGATTTAATTTCCTAGTGTGCACCTGTGTCGTCCACAAGCGTTGCCATCATCTAATTGTGACAGCCTGCACTTGCCAAAACAATATTAATAAAGTGGATTCAAAGGTAAGAGGAGGGCAGTTTGCTAATCAGGTGCCTGCACCGTCTCTCTCATTTTCTCCTTCCCTCTCCCTGTCCCTTTCTTTTTCTCCCTCCCCTTCCCACTCTCCTTGAAGACAATGGTGGGATCCGAATTGGAATTCCTCTCCTTTTTACTTTAAGGTGTTTGTACCTCTGTACTTGTGCGGCATGACCCGTCCTTGAGATGAGCCCCTTAGTGATCGCCGGGCATAAGCTGCAGGGATTCAGTTCTCCTAATTTGGAGAGAGTTTGGCATCAGATGACCAGGATTTGACTGTGGAATCATCCTCTGCTAGCTAGCTTCTCCCTCAGCCTCATCCTTAAAATAGGATCAGTGCTTTCCTCGTGAAATTTTTGCGATGGTTAAAGGAGATGGAAGTGTTGTGATGAGTATGCTGTTAACTGTAAATTGCGCGTCCTAAATAAAGTGGCTGTTGGCTTCCTCCAGCCTCTCCAGACATTTCAGGGAGGGTGCACATCACTCCATAAGTGCTCGAACCTCACGTATGGCACTTGCATCTCGCTGAGCGGGGGTAGGCATTATTCTAAATTCTAGAGCTAGAAAGCAGGATTGTCGCTGACAGTCAGCTGTGGATTTACAGATGCAATGAAATACCTGACTCTGGAACCCAGTGGTTCTTTATTGTCCACAGACAGGATTGCTAAAGAGCGCACATAGAGATGTGTGTACTCTATGAGAAAGAGGTCAGGAAAGTACCAAGAGGAGTAATAATCGCCTCATTCTTTGTCATGTGTGGACATGGTGTTGTTGCTTCAAATTGTGACATAGACTGTAGAGCCTCTGCCTAGTCTAAATATTTGCTGGAGACAGTGAGATTACACTTGATTTTAGCCAAAAGGCTGGGAAGTGCTCGTATGTGAGATTAAACCTTTGCCCTCAGGTGTCAGAAGGCAAATGCCACATAAAGGCCAAAGGGCTGAAATAAGATGGTCACTCGAATGTCACTTCAGAACAAATTCCTTCTGTGGCTCCATGTACTCTGGGTGCCGCCTTCTCCCCGCCACACACACCTTGTGACGTAGTTTCTGGAAGACCTTGTGATAGCAAGTGTATGTAGTCTATAAAAGACCTGTTTAATCCTGAAGTTAAAAGAGTCTGGGAAATAGGTATGGGTGTGAGGGCATTGGCAGGCAGAGAAATACAGCCCGGACATAAAAGATGGAATGAAAATTTTCATTTCCATTTATCTCCCCAAATAGTGAACAATCTCATCGATGCCACACTTTTCTGTCCAGTCTTGCTCATTAGAAAACGTGTTTAGTCTGCTCAGTAAGGCCCGAGTAATTATTCATGGCTCAGGTGTCACAGTGTCACTCTGCGTTTGGTGGGCTCCTGTTACAGTTTTTACGAACGATGTTGATGTGGGACTTTAGCTCTTGTTCCCCGTTTCTTTTTTACAGATTGCTGAACAGAGGTTCGGAATCAACATCCCACACAAGTTCAACGTCCACAACTACAAAGTGCCAACGTTCTGCGATCACTGTGGCTCCCTGCTCTGGGGCATAATGCGGCAAGGACTTCAGTGTAAAAGTGAGTCACTGGGGTGCTGGGCACCCGCTTCTTCGTGAGACCACCAGGATGCAAGCTTTTGGAATTCTTTAGGCTCAGAATATGACCTTGGACAGATGGTTTTAGATTCTTTGTAAATTAACATCTTAGTAGTTCTGTAGTTAGGTGTCCCTCGTCAGGAGTGGAAAGGGAGCTGCGTCTGATTCACAGGTTTCCTCACCACGGAGTAGTAGGTCAGTTGTTAAATTCAGTGTTCTTGCTAGCTGGCTGTTGTGCATTTCGTGCTGAGTATAGACTCACCCTTGAGTATTTTAATAGGTATTTAAAAGAGGGGAAAAATGGGATCTTGGTCAGAAATGGAAGAGGGTCGGAAGTAAGGCGGGCAAAAGAGAAGCTTGGGTGGTGAGGAAGGACTGGCAGGAGAGTAGGTCTGACAACCTCACTGAGATGAGCAGGAGTCGAGTTGTAAATGTAACTTGAGCTGCCCTGGTCTCCTCAAGGAGTCTGTGGTCGAGATGGAGGTCGGCGGAGTGAAGGACACTTAAGCTTCACTCACTGTGCCCAGCGGAACGCATGCTTGAAGCTTTGGCCTGGGCAAAGGGCCTGGGCATAAGGGATTGACCCCTGTCCAGTTAGGAGTTGGGGAGCTCTTGGCCTTGAGCCGTCTTCATTGAGTGTTGCTATAACGATCTGGCTGTCATGGGTGCACTGTTGAAATACGTGTGAACTTCACCCAGAAGCCTGAGATATACCCTGAGTCACCAAGGGAGGCAAGGATGGCATTTGGACAACTTTCATTGCCCGGATGTACCAAGCCTGTTTGTATCAACAGAAAGGGACCAGTTGTTTGTTTTTCAAAAGGGCAAATTCTTTTCTCTCTTTAGAACACCACTTAATAGTTCTTTTTTTCATATAATCAAAACAGCTCATGTATAGCTTTGGTTTCAGCCCTGCTTGATCATGAGCTGGATGGTCTCACATGGGTGCGGGTTTCCAACATCAGAGTCACATTCTGCTTTTGTGTGGCTGTTGCTAACATGCAGAGCCACACATGGGGCTCACTGGCTTCGTTCTTGTCTCTGGTGGCCCTGAGGGGAACATCCGTTCAGTGGTCCAGCTCTTATAATTTTTGCTTTTATCATCACATACTGTTTAGAAAGCCCGCTGGAGGCTTGTGTGTCCCCATTCCAGCTTCCCCAAGAAAGGTGGATTTCCCACAAAGTCATGAAGCTTTGGCCTCAGGGCCCCTCCCTCACCAAGGCACCTTCCAGAGCACTCCACTCGACTGGAGGTTCTTTTTCTTAAAAAGGGCACGGTACCCTAAATTCCATAAACTCGGGGCCCCCCAAACCTGAACCCCTGAGCACTTCCAGAGATGCAGTGACCTTCCGAAAAGAGCTTGTTGCTGCTGATCCAGGACTGCCTCCCATCAGTCAGCAAGGCCGCGGAAGAAACCGGATCAGAAACTTCCTGCTGATCAAACCTAGGGTCCTCTGTCATCCCAAGTCAGTCTCCCCTGCACAGGAGTTTAGCTCGCTTCACTCTCGTCTCGCAACCGCCACCGCCATTTACTGTGACCTTTAAAAACCCCTCTTCCTCCCCACTCGCGCCATGAAGAAGGTGGAGCCCAGGCTGCAGGCGCAGAACCACAGCCCCACAGGATGCGCGCCCTGTGCTGTGGAGGCTCCGACCACAACAATACTCAGAACGAGGGCTTCGCTCAGAGGTTTTCTCTCCGAAACACCATTTCCATCCTGTCTGAACAGCCATCTGTCTACTTGTGTCTGCTGCCTTTTATCGAGAGAGAGAGAAGAGCGTAGTCAGTTGGCATGATTCCATGTCATTCAGTGGACGGAACCATCACTCTGACAGTGTCCCCATCTCTCCACTGAATCGTGCCCTTAAATCCGCGGTAGCTGTTCCACGTGATTTAGATGCATGTCTTTCAGCAAGTCGCCGTGTGTGGGGGGGAAATGTATCTGAAATGTATTATCCTTCAGCACGGAGGCTTTCTGCTTCTGCACAGAAAGAAATAGGTGAAAATGCCCGGGGCTGGGACGAGTGAGCAGTGTTGGGGGAGGGCGGCCTCGTTCAGCCGTAGCGCTCTCGGTGCCCGCGTTCCTTCTGCAGCGCGCTGACCGGCTCCTGTCTGAGCGCGGTTCCCTTCTCTTCCCCGCAGTCTGTAAGATGAACGTGCACATCCGCTGCCAGGCGAACGTGGCCCCGAACTGCGGGGTGAATGCGGCGGAGCTGGCCAAGACTCTGGCTGGGATGGGCCTCCAGCCCGGAAATATTTCTCCGACCTCGGTGAGCCTTTGCTTTCGTTCCTGTGCTGTCACTGAATAGCTGTTCAGATGTGGTAAGCCCGAATGAGCGCACGTGGCATAATCAAGGTTCCTAATCTCAGCAAACACAATAAACAGGTTTATTGCATTTTTAAAGAGCATTTTGTTCCGTGAATCAGAGTCTATATGCAATTATATGACAAGAAGTAATGAGCGTGCAGATATAGCAAGAAGCAGAAAGATTTTAAAAGCAAACTCAGCTCCCTGTCAGTGTGGTCTGGTAAAAAGCTTGGAATCCAGGGGTCTTGGCTAGGCCCCCGGCAGTGCAGTAGACCCGTAACAATGGGCCTCGGCTTCCTCCTCTCCTAAGGGGTTGAACTTGAAGCCTTCTGAGGTTCTCCACAGCCCTGAGATCCAGCAGTTGTACAGTTTTGTTTATAGATTGCAAATCTATCTCTCAAGTTCATTAACAGACAGGAGTTCCTCCCTCTCAGCTCCCGGGAGTGGGTGGAGTTGTGTCAGTTGCCTTGAACAAGTTTTGTTTGCCACCTGCTGTTGTCCCTTAGAACCTCAACCACTTTGCAGGCTCACAACCTATTGCTGCCTTCCTGGCCAAGGTCTGCAGAGAGCGGGGAGGAAGCGATGGCTACAGCTGTGATTTCTGAAAGATGGGGCTTGATATTGAGAGAGAATTCTAGACTTAGCTATTGAATGTGGCTGGGACTTGGGAAAGAAGGCACAGTCACCATCAGGTTCTTGGTTATCCAGAACATGTCAGCTAAGCGCCCTGTTTCCTTTTTACTGAAGAATACTTGGTAACCATAATATTTCAGGAAGGCACTGGCAAAATCCATCCGAGTCTCTGTCTTTGGATAGACAGGCAGGATGCTAATACTGTGAGGGGGGTTCCTAATGCACAGGGCAGCTGTTCCTAAGGAGCATAGATTAAAGATTTCAGCCAGAACCAGGGCTTCTAAAATACAATGGGAATAAGATAGACCATGTGGCACACCCTCTAGCAATAGGCAGTGCCACTTGTTGTATGTCAGTCACCAGGTATCCTTCATATTCTGATATTTAATAGAAAGTGAAAGGTACCTATTACTTGACAGTGCACATTAAAAAGAGACAGAAAATCTTAAGTCTATCAAAAGCAAAGAATGGGTTAAAAAAAAAAAAAAAGATTGAGAAATACTGGCTTAGAGCTTTCTGCCAGCGCAACCCAGCCAGGGGAAGTATTGAAGTAGAGGAAGTGAAATTCAAGCTGGTAAAATGTTTCTGTCTTTGAAAAAGTTGTAATCAGAGATCTGGAGAAGAAACTATTAAAACCATTGGATTTTTAAGATGATCCATTTTATATCTTGCTGTCACTGTGTTTTTGGGTGGAGTAGATAAAATCCTTGTAGTTTCCGGCTATTGCAGAGTTGCTTATTGCAAACATTGTATAGAAGTTGCCCCAGATATGCTTTTCAAAAAATCTAAATAGGTCAGAAGGTCCAGGATGTTAGACTTTTAATTTGTTGTTCAGTGGTAGTTTGCATTATAAATGTTCCCAGATGGACATCTGCAAGTTATCTTGCCTTGAGTGGGTGCCCTCACCGTGATGGGGCTTGTCCCCTTGGCATGGGCCAGAGAACCCACTGAGGAGGCCTTGCTTCTGGTTTGGTGAGACTGGAGCACTCATTGTGCTGCTGGTCAACCATTCTAGGGGGCAAGCTGACTATGTATCAGAAGTCTTCAAAGTTTACACTTTGGCTTAAAGAATTCCATTTCCAGAAAATTATCTTAAGAAAATAGATTATGACGAACCTGATGATGATTATAATGACAACACAGCTCATGTTTATTGAATGTGCTTTACATGCATTTATTCATTTACTCCTCATAATAACTCATATAGCAGACGCTATAACATCCCCTTTGTTGGAGGAAACTGAGGCACAGACAGGATGGGTAGGTACCTTCGCCAAGGTCACCGTTAGGTTGCTGAGCTGTGATTGGAACCCAGGCAGCCTGCTTGGAAAACTAATCACCCTGCTCGGAAGATTTGAATGCAAGTATGTTCACTGTGGTGTTATTTATACTAGTAAGAAATGGGAGATAACCTATATTTCTAATAGCAGGGGAATTAGTGAATAAATTGTGATACAACCACAAAATGAAATATCAGACAGCCCTTAAAACTCATGTTCTTGGAGAGAGATGGGAAAGACACATGACAAAATGTTAAATTAAAATGTGTTATGAAGCGATTTTATTACATTTTAAGAATTAATCAAGTTGAAGACAGCTGTGTGTGTGTAATTGTTTTTATATTTTTGTTTTTGAGGGGGGCTGGTGAGATTACAGGTATTTTAAATCTTATCCTTCATACTTTTGTTCATTGTTCAAGTTTTTATATTGATTTTTATTTCTCTTATATAATTTTAAAAATTGTAAAAATAATGTCGCTTCATTCATTTGAGTCCCTTTATGGAGTCCTTGGTCCTTGGTCCCTGATCCTCTGAGCAAATACTGAAAACTTCTTTGTAGGAAGTGGACACCAGGTGGCGCTCTTGGCCCCTGAGCGCCCCGTGGAAATCCACTGCGAGGAACTGGAGGGATCAGACTAAGGCGTTTGTGTTTCTATACACGCCCACTTGAGCATAAACTGAAACTCTGTGGCTTAGAAATATTTTTAAGTGATTCTTCCCCAGATACAGTGAGCACAGACCACAAGCTAATGCAGAGGTAATTTTGAATAGCAGAACCTGATCACTTGTGAAGCTGAATTATCTTACCCCATGGGTTGTATTGAGTGCTGAGGCTGCAAGTAAGGTCTTCTCCATAAATGCTTCATGCGCACACTGTGAGTTCTGACTCGATGTGTCCCTTCTCTTTACAGAAGCTCGTTTCCAGATCAACCCTAAGACGACAGGGAAAGGAAGGCACCAAAGAAGGAAACGGGGTCGGGGTTAATTCTGCCAACCGGCTTGGTATCGACAACTTTGAGTTCATCCGAGTGTTGGGGAAGGGCAGCTTTGGGAAGGTGAGCCTCGGCTTTCACTGTTCAGGGTAAAGTAAGCACGTTGCGCGTATGTTGTCTGGGCTTGTGTGTGTGTGTGTACACGCTCACGTTCCCCACGTGTCCTTCCCTTTCTGCCCCGTGCGTGCCCACACCCTGAGGACGGCACGAGTTCTCGGCTCACGCTCCCTCCTTCCGCTTTGCCATAGGTGATGCTTGCAAGAATCAAAGAGACAGGAGACCTCTATGCCGTGAAGGTGCTGAAGAAGGACGTGATCCTGCAAGATGACGACGTGGAGTGCACAATGACAGAGAAGAGGATCCTGTCCTTGGCCCGCAGTCACCCCTTCCTCACCCAGTTGTTCTGCTGCTTTCAGACCCCTGTGAGTAGGATGCGCATTCCCAGCCTCCATGGCCTTCTTTCTTAAAGAGTTGAGACAATATGATATTGAGGATTTCATAAAGTAGAATTATCAGAAACTTTTGGGGGATGAGCGCCCGTGGGAGGGCCATAGGAAGGTCCCCACTGACTTCTGATGACCTGCGGGAGAAGGTGAACCCAGTGAACTAACCAATTTCTTTCATGGCATCCTAAAGAAGGATCACTTTGAGGGTGGTGTCCTAAGATTTAAAGGTCTTTATAGGTAAGTCTTCTCTAGCAAAGTGAAGGTTACTGAAGTCTAAGAATAGAGTAAATGTCATGGGCTGCTTATCTTGGTGACTTTGACCTTCGCTCTGTCCCTAAATGTTTAACAAGAGCTCACCCAGGGTGGGCCCAGAGAAGGCACCTTGATCTGTAAGGCCCCAATGCATTGCTCCTGGCCTTGACCAGGGACCCTTACCTCCATTGTGTGGGCTGATCCTGGGATTCAAGTCTGTCTACCCTCTAATGGTGTGCAGTTAGGAATGCTTTTGGCTGCAGTTAACAGAATGCCCAACGAATAATGGTTTATGCAGTAAACAGAAAGGATAAGTTTAATTCTTTAATATAAACGTTTTTCTGGAGGAATCTGGTGGTAGCAATGTTAGGGTTGGCTTAGTTGCTCAGTAACATTGGACATCTCTTCCCCTTGGAGTTTCAAGTTATTTGCCACAGTGCTAAACATTACACCTCACAGGGCAGCATCCGGGGGAGGACGCATGGGGGCAGAGGCACAGGGCTTCATGGGCCACTCTCCTTGTATCGGGGAGAGAAAATTCTCTCTACGCTTGAGTCACCTGCTCACCCTTAGCTGCAAAGGAGACTGGAAGAACAAATATCTAGCCAGGGCAAGCTGGTTTACCATGGTAGACTCCCACCAACCTTGACTCATCCCCTGCGGTGGGCACTGTGCTGCCCACTTAGCACTGGGCTTCTGTTGTCAATGAAGAGGGAAGATGGCTCCTGAGAAGCCACCAAGAAGGTCTGCCAAGGTATTTCAGAACTTTCTCGTAGTCAAAGGCATTCTGGGAGAGTGAATTTGGGACGTGCCCCTTGTCTGTGCTACCATCAGGCAATAGAGGCGGGGGCAGGATAGGGACACCCCACCTACCTGATCCAGGGACGGTGCAGTGCGATTCCAGGGAACCAGGTGAGTTAGCATTAGTTAGGCCAAAGGCGAATGAAGGCAGATACGCATAGAGAGTACCAGCAAGTGCGCAGGTGGAGCAGTGAGCGAGACCGTGAGGGCGAATGTAGTGTGTGTGAAGAATGGAGGGTGAGGAGGCGCCTGGTAAGAACTGAAGCTGCAGAGATGGCCAGAGCCAGGCCATGAAGGACCTTGCAGGCTGTGTTAAGGAACATGAACTCTAGTCCTCAGAGCAAATCAAAGAAATTTAAGCAGAGAGATGACATATCAGATTGCATTTTTCAACTGTAAAACTGATTTTTTTGCAATAAGTAATATAAGCACCCTCCAATATCAATATCTTTTCTCTGAAAGAAACAATTACTACTAATTTCGTGTGTAGATTTTTGAAGTATTTTTTGCACATGAAAGCGTACATGCATACCACATATATGCATTCACATTTATTTTTTTAAAAGCAATGATGGTATACATTTCCCACCATTCTACACCTTATTTTGTTGAAAACGTAATAATGTATCTTGGAGATTTGTTTCATATTTGTATATACAGATACATAGTTGCCTCATTTTTAATGGCTGCATAGTTTTCCATTTTGAGAACATGCCACAATTTATTTGTTTCCTATTGCTATGTGTAGGTTGTACCCAGTCTTTTATTTCAGTCATTATTGCAGTGAGTCCCCTTGTGCTTTTATCCTTACATATTGTGCTTTTATGTCTATATGATACACTATGAGAAGTTGTATTTGTTCGGAGTATATGCATTTAAAATTTTGACTGAGTCCAATTGGCCTTCTCCCTCATAGCTATTAAAGATAGCTAACATGTTACCACCTATATACTAAGCATTGTTCTAAGTGCATTATGTATGTTATCTCATTTAATCCTCACAGTAACTCTATGAAGTAAGTTCTATTAGCATTAATCCCATTTTACATATGAGGAAACTGAGGCACAAAGAAATTTAGCTTCTAAGTAACAGAGGTTTTGATTCCAGACAGTCTGACAATAGAGCCCAGGCTCTTACCACTTGCTTGCTGAATTTCTAAGTTCACACTCCCAAACCATGAGAAGACCGATTTCGCCCACCCGCACTTCACAGCTTGCTATCTATCATTTTGATGATTGGAGAGATTTAAAACATAGTTTCTTCAGAGTTCTAATTTGCGTTTCCCTGACTGTGAGTGAGGCTGAGCATTCGCAGATGTTTAAGGGTCCCCTGTATTCAAATCCTTGTTGTGAAGGACACATGTGCAGCCTGGGGAATGGGTGGGGCAGGGAAGACTGGAAGCTGGGAGCCAGGAGGGTGTATTAAGGGGATACACAGTGTGCACTCCCGTGCTGTCCAAGCATATTGGAAGGAGCTGGGGTGTCAGCTAATAGCTTCTTAGGCCACGTTCCCCCTGCACTCCTTCCTTCCTCATGGTCTGGGCTCCTTGAGGCTACACGCTCCTCACCGCATGGTCTGTGGCTCTTCCAGACAGCCCTGGATTCCATGCTGCCCTGTCATCTTGCCCCTGGTTCTCTGTTCCCATGTCTGGGGTCCATGGTTCTTGTGGAAATCCAGCTCTGCCACCCTCCACTGCTACCTAGAGTGTTTCCTGTGCTCTGCACTTTGCCTGCATAAAGCCCTTCCCTCCTCACCCCCCTCACCCAACTGTTTTCCCAGAGATGAGTGGGGTGACAGCTCAGGCTTGAAGCACCCTTGCAAAGAAGGATGGTACTATTTGGTAGGTGATACCAGTTGCCTTCTGCTCATACCATGAATCAAATGATAGGGCAGCTATGGCTCAGGTCATCCTCCCAGGGCCCGAGCCAAAGAGTAGATGGTTACCTGTGACATTAGGTTAGATGATCTTAATCAGCTGATGACTTTGAAAAGTCAGACCATGGACAGGCTATTTAGTGAACCTAGTCTGATTGTGCAGCGGCTGTTGTTTCAAGTTACTCGAGTGAACAAATAAAGACGTGCCTCATACTCAGCTCTAGAGAGTCCCCATGATTGTGTAAGAAACAGTCAGAGGTGTCACCGACAATTAGATTTTGTTATGGTAAAGTAGAACAAAAAATTAACTTGGAACACATTAGGAGCCCAATGAAAGTAATGTATAAAATGCAGAGTTTTCTAGAAGAGTATAAATTATGTAATATACCAAAATATTAGTGACCATGTGGGATTTCCAGTGTTCATCAGGTTCAGCCTTCATTAGCATTGGCCATCTTTGTCCTAGTGGCAGTTTCATGCGTGGCCACAAGGTGACACTCGTTACTGCAGGGTGATTTTTATTTCTCCACCAGATACAGAAAACTAGGGTTTAGAATTTGTGTTCTGCAGGAGATGTCCCTGAAGCAAAGGATAATGGGAATTTTCCACTGTCCTAAGTCCAGACGATAAAGTGGCAGGAACCAACTTAAAAGAATCAAATGAGTTTTTCTCGTGCTGAGACAGAGATACACAGTTTTCACTTTGCTATAGTTTATGACTTCTCTCAGGTTTGCAAGGTTTCAGACTCCATAATATGCATGGCATTTGCTTGCTGTGTGTCTGTCCATCTGTCAGAAATCCTCCGTGACTATCCCCACTTGCTGTTGAAAAACTAGCTATAGAGAACAGAGAACATGTTCATTACTATGAGAAATTACAGCAGGTACATTATTACTTTTTAGCTACGCAGTTTGGCAGGTCCCAGCCCCCAAAGTGAGATGCCAACCAGTGTGTAATGCTGAGCTGTAACAGCCTCCCCAGAAGAATTTAGAAGTGAGGTGTTAGCGTCACCCCCCAGCTATCTGCAAAGTATCCTTTCACTGTGATGACCCTGAAGAAACGCTCTCCTCTCCTGTCCAGCCCTGTGGAACGAGTGTCTCCGAAGCCCAGAGAAAGGGAGAACTACTTGCTGAGGGCCCCTTAGGCTGTAAGTGGTAGAGAAGGTTCTGCTCTGACTCGGGCTCACTCTGGGGCCCAGGCTGCACGCTTGCACCCAGCAGTCGCACACTGTCTTACACCACATTTAGGTCATTGATTCACCACCCGCTTAAGCACCTCCTATCTGCCCTGGCTGCCCTCCAGCCTGCTGGCAGGGAAGCAGCATTGCCCTTGAAAATGGAAGTCCCCGAGTCCTTCCAACTTTGTTTTCCTCTGTCTGAATGGCGTGAGCCTACCTCTTGAACCTTCTAGTTCTCGTGGTTAAAAGGAGACCAGGATTGCCGTGAGGACCAGAGGAGAGCATACAGACATGCTTTGTACACACGCAACACTATTCAAAAGTGAGTAGGCTTATTGTGGGGGTGACCACTTCCTCCCCACACCAGAGAAAAATGTTCTGGGACTTCTCCAGTGGCCAGCACAGACCCCACACCAGAGCATAGAGCAAACACCCTGAAAGTAGGAGTTCCGGAGCTCCTTTTGTTCTTAAGAAAAACAATAAATAAGCACATTTCATATATTTATTGACTTCGCTACGTAGGATTGTAAGCCCATAAGTCATTGCCCCTGATTTTTGCATAATGACACACGTTACTTGCAAGTGTATCATTAATTGGCATCCTCACAAGTTTCTGAGAGCGTTACAAATCCTAATAGTCTGTGAGTAATTTGATCATCTGAGTCAAGACTCATAAAAATGTTTATACTCTTGGATCTGTTTATTTGATTTCTGATAATCTAGCCTAAGAAAACAACATAAGGAATATAAAATAAGTACTATGCATAAAGAGTTTTAATTTTCAGCGCATTATTTATAATGGGAAAATATTGGAAACAGCTTTGGCATTCAGCAATAGACGTTTACTTAAATAATACAGTATTTGATTTAT